ATTGGGGTGGGGTAGTTTTATTCCCATTACAGCCTTCAAAAGCACCCAACCCCATCTTCCCAGTTAGGGGTAGGAGTGGAAGAATAATGAAGAGAAATCCCTGAGGAAAATTACAGAATTTTCCTCTACCGATAAAGTTTAATCACATACTTTCCCAAAGGGTTATCTCAAAAGAGCAGCTCATTTGTCTCCCTAGAAGCATTAAACAGGAACTTTAACAATCTTTCACAGTACGACCACAGTGAGAGAAGGAAACACAGTGGAAGGCAATCTGAGTCTGCAAAGCTCTCCCAATATGGGAACATCTTCGGAGTACACTTACCCCAAAAAGAAAACCTGCAGGAGATAAAATCTGTTCTTCCAAGCTTCTAAAATCAGCTCCTGGAACAATTTGTCAGAGTTAGAATGATATGATTAGCTTATCATTTCTCCGGTCCTTGTCAAAACAGAAGTTCCTCTTGAATTCCTGTCCATAGTCCACATTCCCAGGTGCAACAAATTAATTAAACTAAAAAGTCTTTCTTATCAAAATGCTTTTTTAAAAAACTTGCTGGCTTCTGACTTCATCAAAGAATATTTAGCAGATATATTGTTTATGTAAGCTCTGAAGGAGCAAAATGTCCTTTAAGTTGGACAAACCTTGTACAATACTGTGATTGATATTTACAAAGTATGACGATTTAAAAATAGAATTTTATATGCATTCATAATCCAAATGTTAACTCCTCCTTTAAAATCCCCCTTACCACCAGGAATTTCTGAATTTTAAGCATGAACATCTTGGAATCTGACCTGAACCACAAATTCTGATTGTGAGATCAAATGAATAATTTATAGATACGTCTATTCAGAAGTTGCTGTGCATAGGAAAGTAAATAAAGAGAAACAAATAAATTGTGAATGTATAATAAGCCAGTTTAAAGCCATAGGCTAAAAGCTGTAAGATCCATTTAAGTAATACCCAGGCATACAGATATTACTTCTAGAGGCAGAAAGCATATAAAAGTTCAATATTAATATTTTTTTTAGTTTTATAAATAATAGTTTAGAAATATCTGCTCAAGGAAATATTTTTATTCCAAATGCCAAAGCTGTAAAGTAAAAATTATGTCACTGATATGGAGAGGGAAATTTATTCAATGCCTATATGCTTCAGTTGTATTACTGGTACATGAAAATAGTTATAATTTCTCCATATCTCATAGGGATAGCTTAAAGACTACATGATTTAAGGTATCATAAAGAACCTTAAGAAGGACAGAGTATCATAAAAGTTAAAAATAAGTGAAAAAATGCTTGAATTAAAATTTTCAGTTTACAGGGACACCTGGGTGGCTCAGTGGGTTAAGCCTCTGCCTTCAGCTCAGGTCATGATCTCGGGGTCCTGGGATCCAGTCCTGCATCGGGCTCTCTGCTCCACAGGGAGCCTGCTTCCCCCTCTTTCTCTCTCTGCTTGCCTCTCTGCTCACTTGCAATCTCTCTCTGTCAAATAAATAATAAAATAAAAAAATCTTAAAAAAAATTTTTCAGTTTACAAATGGGGAAATGAAACACTGATAGTTTAGTTTACTTTTTTTTCAAAGTCATAATACTAATAAGTGCTAACAGATAAGATAAAATGAACCTCCCCACAAGCCACTTACCTCTAAAAACCATTTTGTACACTATCATGTCTCATTGATTAATTTCAGAAAAAGTAGATTAATCCAAATATGTAAAAAAGATTAATCCAAACATCAAAATAAGATGTTTAGTTCAATTGATACATAATACTTTAAAAATCTAAGTTCTCCAGGTAAATTTTGGACTTTCAAAATAGAAAACTAAAAAAATACTTCTTTTTTTTTTAACTTCTCAAAAAGAAGATATGTATCCTCAGTAATTTTGATAAATATTTTCTTTGAATGTACTTGCAAATTCCTAGTCTAAAAAATGCTTTGGTCAATCATGTCTACACAGAAAATATTTTGAACACGTTTACTCTAAATTTCCCTGTCTTCATTCTCCTTAAAATAGATGTTACAGGCATGGCCGCCTGGGGTTTTGAATTGTAATTCTTCAGTTGCCAGATTGCTGTCTATAAACCTGATTGGGACAGATTTAGATTTGGATTCCAACTGACTATATTAAACTCAAGGAATGAATCTAAACTGAAAATTATGGTTCAATCTAGTTCATTCCACTGGGAACTGGCACTGTTACAGATATTTCTGTTCTTGGAACTATCAGCTTCAGTTAAACCTTGTATTCACAGCATCGGTCAGGATAAAAAATTTTCGGAGTCTGAATACTTTCCTGCCTCTAAGGAAACTGAACAGATAAAATTTAAACTCACAAGAGTAGACAGAAACAAAAGGCCACCATCTAAAGTTTTCTTCAAAATGGCAAGAAACATTTTTTTCAAAAAAAAAAAAGAAAGAAAGAAAGAAAGAAAGAAAGGAAGGAAGAAAGAAAGAAAGAAAAAAAGAAAGAAAAAGAAAGTAAGAAGGGCTCCTGGGTGGGTCAATCAGTTGAGCATCTTATTCTTGATTTTGGCTCACATCATGATATAGAGTTGTCAGACTGAGTCCTGTATTGAGTTCCATGCTGGACATGGGCCCTGCTCAAGATTCTTTTTCTCCCTCTCCCTCTGTTCCTCCCCTCTCTCTCTCTAAAAATAAATAAATAAATAAATAAAATAAGAAAGTAATAACAAGTTGAACATTGAGTGATAATACCAGCAACACTCATGTGAATCAATTTGCTTGTCCAAATGTTGTTTTATTTGCTGACAGAATCTTTATTGTATGTAAAGTGCTAGTAAAGAAAAAGGGAATGTATGGAATATGTCTAGCTGTGCATCATAGGATTTTTATTTACTTGTAGAGAACTTATATTTTACTTCAATATAAAAATGTTAACATAATTCAAAAACCAAAATGATATAAATATATATATATATTTAGAAGTCCTGCCCCAACACTGTATAGACAACTACTGTTCCCTCAACATCCTCCTTGTAAAAATGAATTTTAAGTAATTTAGAAAATAATTTAATTTAGTGTAAATATGGGTAGAATTTTATTATGCTGTCCATTTTCTCATATTTTTATTATGTGATATATATTCTTCTGCTGTAAGATTTCTTTTTTATCACTATCTATTGGGTTATTTTTATGTCAGTACACAAGAGCTTCCTGATTTTTTTTTAAGTTTCAGAGTTTCCATTGTGTAAATACAATATATTTAACCTAATATTTCATTTATTTCATCATGATTGTTTTCAGTCTTTTGCTATTATAAATTATGTTGAAGAGATCTGTGTATAGATTATTAAGTATGTATGCAGTTATACTTTAAGGGTATATTTCCAGAAGTGGATTGGTGATTTAATGAATGAAGCTGTAACATTAGTAGCTAGTTCTAATTTGTTTCCATATGGTTGTTTCATTAGCACTCAAAATAGTAAAATATCTGAATAACTCTTTCCTTAAAGCCTGGTCAACAGGGTCGCCTCTTGAACACAATACATCACATATTCAAGAATGTATTATGTGAGTGTTTGACCATAATAATTATTTTCTATTGGCATGCAATTGAACTTGCTTTAGAGAAATAATATGTAGGCTGGTATGTTGGACAATCAGAAAGAATTTATCTTGCAACGAAGAAGAAGAGAAAGAGAAAAGCCATCATAAAGTGAGTACTTGTGATGTATCAGAAGCTGTGATAGATACTTCTGACATAGTCATTAATTTCAAGAAGTACCTGGAGGATTATTACAATTAAGGTTTTGAAATATGAGTCAGAAAGCATACATAACATTTGAGTGGCATGGTATAGATTTGAGCACAAGCCACTTAAAAAGTCCATGCTTTTTAAATATTTTGAATGTTAATTTTTATTATTTTCATCAGGTTTGGAAATTAACTTTTGATTGCTAATTTTTTCCTCAAAATATTCTGTAAGATATTTGCATGTCTGCAAGACATCAAATTTTCAACACAACAATCACATCTCCAGCATGAATGTTCAAAGAATGAAACTATCTGTGTATTCTGTCCCTCTAGGGATGCTAGATTATAATCACACTGTCTGTTAGATTTATAAGGAGAAATGCAAACAGTTAAACAAAACATTTTGTGAAGTTCTTAGAACATTTTTATCTCTAGGCAATTTACTTGGAACCTACTAAGAATTTATTAGATTATTATGTGAGCTTGAAATCAGAACAAAGATATTTATGTAGCATTTCTAAGCTAACACCCAGTTGCTTGCTCATCCTCTTTCTTTCTGACCATTAGAGTACAGTTGGTTCCTTAGGGAAGGGGTTCCTCACAGTTATGGTTGAAATATCTCTCATGTCCTCTCATCATACCTATAAACAGTATACAAATTATATAAATCATATAAAAATAAAAGCAAGAGTATAAGGGGCACAGGATTTAGAAAAGAAAGAGCAATGTCTGAGAAATGAATAAGGAGGACATGGGGAAGGAACACAAAAATTGTTAAGTTCTAATTTATTTTAATTGTTCTAATATTCAGATATATGTTACTTTTTTAACTATAAACAATTAATAGATAGATGATTGATAAATTGCATGAAATAAGATGAATGTAAATAGGATTAATTCCATTCTGTGAACTTAAAATCCATCAAAAGTAAAAGTGAAAAAAGGAAAAAATTAATTAATTAGATTTTAGCTGAATGAGTTTCCATGAGTCTACTGCCTGAATGTCATAACTGGAATTTAACCCTTCCTGAATTAATTAGCATACAGTGATACATAAGCTCCTGGTTATGACACAGATTGCTAATACGTTCTATGGTGTCGAATTTGCCTAATTTTTAATTTTTTTTATAGGATTACCTAGTGGGTCTCCAAGTTCCTGGGAAGATAGTGCAATCTTAATATCAACAACAGATACTGTCTGAAATGTGTCAGGCCAAAGGACTGGTCAATGATAAAAACAGAAAAAAAAGAAAAGGAGAGAGAGAGAGTCAGAAAAGGAAATAATTCTAGTATTATTCATGTAGTGTAATGAGATGTATGATCTCTTTGGTCCTAGAGACAGAATATTCTACTGAAGAGATAGATGTGTCAGATTATCAGAAGCTATTATCATTAAAAACCTCCTTATTTCAGATTTCATGTCTACCAAGCAATTCTTGAAAAATATTTCAGCTTCTAATGCAAATCCATCTCAAGAATGCAAGTATATTAATCAGGACAGAAGTATGTAGTATTTCTTACTGCGAAATAATAAATTGACATTTGAACTTTGATATCAGCCTCTAAGAGCCCTGGTTAAGTCAGTCTACCTCTGATAAACAGATTCAGGTCCAGTGTGTAGGCAAAAAGCTGATTTCTTCCTCAAGTCTCCATACTGGGTTGAGGACATTTTGCCAGAGTAAAGCTGACTTGTGATGTCTCTTGGTCGACAGCCAACTCACTTCTCCCGATGACACTCTGACTTCCCCTGCTCTTCCTATTCACACTTCAACAGGTTCTACTTGATTGAAGTACCCCCTCAAGCCAGCACAAATGGAGATAACTCTCTTAATTAGAGTTCTCAGTATGTGACTGAAGATCTTCTGTGAAGACACCAATCACAACCTGCAAAGAAAAAGGAAATCAGGTAATGCCTGCTTTGCACTCCCGACTTCCTCTCAGTCTACTCTTTCCTTCTGTCTTCTTTCATCTTGCCTGTCTGGAGACTAATTTCAAATTCGGGCCTGGCTTCACCTCAAACTTGATGAAAGCAGTCATAGCAAATCACATGCGAAAGAGTAAGGATTGCACTTTTCAATTGCAGCCCCAACATTTGACAGCCCTTGAATTAGGGGAGAATTTTTGTGAGTTAGGTACTCATTTTGTTACTACTGGAAAATTAAGGCTTTTCCAAATGTATGAACAATTCTTCAACACTTTGAGTGAATTGGCAAAGCTACTCAGCTAGTTTGTAACAAATATCCTGACATACAAGGAAAAATAATACATTGTAAAAGTTGATTCAATAAAGTATTTTTAAGGATGAAAATATACATAAATTGACATATTTCTTTTTGGGTCCATATAAACTGGTTTACTGAAAAATATTACTAGTCCATGATGTGAACATGGCATAAACATTTACAGTAATACATATTTCTAATTTTACAAAGTAATTTGTGTATGTGTGTGTAAATTTTATATATATTCAATTAGCTGAGGAGGAACAAGGTAATGCTATGCCTTCTTGTTTCAGCTTTCATACCATTCACAGACGTCCCTTTCATGGTGTATTTAGTGGCATGTTTTACACATTTTTGTGATTGTTGTTAGTGATTTTGCTGCTTAACGGGCACCTATGCTTAGGGCTGAAGTGTTGTTTAACTTCTTTCTCTAAGCTTCAGAAAACCATGATGTGTATTATGGGGAAAATATGTGTGTTAGATAAACTTCATTTAGGCTTGGATTATAGTGGTATTGGCCATGAGTTTGATGTTAACGAGCCAAAAGTGGCATGTGTGTGTGTGTGTGTGTGTGTGTGTGTGTGTGTTGCAACAGCAATACACATAAAACAAGCTTATTTACTGATTGATTGACAGTTATTGTGACCAGAGGTTCCCAGGAAGTTAGAGTTAGGGTTAGAAGCAATCATTTAGTATTCACTTATTCAGCATTTGCAGAAACTTTATAGAACATTAACTATCATGAATAATGAGCGTCAACTCTGCACACACATACACATGGCTCACCATGAGTGTGTGTGTATAAACTTAAAAGTTAAGTAATACTTATTATAATTGGAGGGATTTTAATCATATTAAAATGCTTTGTTGTCATCTACCTAAGTACTTTGTAGTCTATCTTCTGAATAAATTTAGTATTTATTTAGATGAATTACCCAATTAGCAACATATTATTTCACTGATACAAATTAGGGTAAAAAATATAGTAATATTATGTGCAAATGTAAACCACTTGTTTTAGAGATTGTCTTTATGGCCAGCTTTGCTGTAGGCCTATCCTGCTCACTGTCCTGCTCACCAAGACTCTGCCCCTTTTTAGCTTTGTCAATCTCCTCTCCTGAACAAACCTGATTCTGGGGAAAAAAGAGGATCTGATTCAAGAAAGACCAGAAGAAACTGATAATTAGAATTCAACTAAATCACGTGGACCATGAAGCATAAAATTAAGTGTTTGAATCTGCTGGTGTCTCTAGAATCTACTTAAGTTTAGAGACATACCAGGTATGACCAAGCTTATTACAATCTTTTTTTTTGGATTAAGGATAAATTTATTTTAAATATTTATATTAAACCACAACTGCACAACATTCTAATGTTTGCAGAGTTATGTTCTTTGAGTAGAAGTCCCTGACTTAAATAATTACTGTATTCCATCAGGAAATTTGGCTTTGCACCAAACTTCTTTAAATGAATAATTGTCTCGACAAAATCTGGGTCTTACACCATGTGGTATTTAAATTCTAATAAAACTGTTTCTGAATTTCTCATTTAAAACTTTGATTTAGAAGAAACCAGATATTTACTTTTTTGATAGTTCATGATTTAAGGAAATGTAAAATAAATACGTAATTATGAGAAAGTTGTTGGGAACTTCCTTTTTTCACAAAAGGTAAGTAATTTAGACTATTGCAGTTATACTATCTCAAAATGAAATGGCAAGAGAGAGGCATCCCCTACTTACACCACAATATTGATGTTTGCAGTAAACTAAATAAGGAAAAGATGTATAATTACAGAATTTAATCATTACTTGGTTTTCTCAGATGTTTCACTTTGAATGAAGTGTGACAATATAATTGATGAGAATCTTTCTCTTGTTCATGTATCCATCTTACTCATTATGAAAACGTAATTGTGTGTAGTGGAAAGAAAATAAATATGGGTTGATGCCAATATTTAGATAAGGGCTTAATACACGGACATGTTACCTATAGGCAAGTTATTTCAACTCTGATTTGACATTCTTATTTGTATGTTGTGGCAGATAGAGGTAGCTGTTTCACATTATGCGCTGGTCTTTCATTCACTTAATATTTTCATCTGACAATAGAAGAGCCAGAACATATACATATTTTAAGTCTCTTCTTTTAAGATAAGTCATCTTATGAGTAAGTCCAGGCTCATAAGACACAAGTGGAGTAATATATTCCAGCTTAAGTTGTAAAAGAGTTCCAGCAAGCATACTTTTCTTATCCATACCTTTCTATTTATTGCTGCCTGGACTTTGAAATTAGGGTCTATAACAGATGCTAAATTGTGTTTTCAGATTCCACTTTCTAGGAGTTCTCCAATCTTCTAGGAAAAATGTTTAGGAGGCCAAGTTATGTAATTGTGGCATAATCAATGAAGTGTATGCCTATGGAGCTGTGATTTGATAAATTGATAACTAGCATTGTACAATTACATGAAATATGTTGTCCTTAAAATTTACAATGGAGTGTATCGTTAAAATATCTCTCCATATACAAGAACTTTCTTTTAAATTTTAACATTGCCTTTGCCTAAATTCTCAGTGATCACATAGGTGTCATTAGGTGGAGGAAGTCCTGTTGAATTAGTGATTATACATCATAAAAATAAATTGATAAAGCTTAGAACTCATTAAGTTTATATTTTTTAATTAATCATTTAGCCCCAGATCCATAAATAAGAGTTGTTATTAATAATAGAATATTGTTTTGTTATTCCTGTGATAAATTTGGCAAGAAATTTATAGTACCACAATAGAATGTAATGCATTAAATTAGAAAAATAGCATGCCTGCATGGCTCAGTCTATTAGGCAGATGCCTTTAGCTCAGGTCATGATCCCAAGATTCTGGGAATAGGTCCCACATTAGGCTCCCTGCTCAGTGGAGAGCCTGCTTCTCCCTCTCCCTCTGCCTGTCGCTCTGCCTACTTGTACTCTCTCTCTGTCAAGTAAATAAATAAAATCTTTTAAAAAATAATAAATAGGGGCACCTGGGTGGCTCGGTGGATTAAGGCTTCTGCCTTTGGCTCAGGTCGTGATCCCAGGACCCCGAGATTGAGCCCTGCATCGGCATAGGGACTCTCTGCTCAGCAGGGAGCCTGCTTCCCTTCCTCTCTGTTCCTCTCTCTCTGACTACTTGTGATCCCTCTCTGTCAAATAAATAAATAAAATCTTTAATAATAATAATAATAAATGAGTAAATTAGAAAAACATATGTATAATTCAAGAAAACTAAAGAGTTATAAATATACATAAATATGTAATTGTGTCTATCTCACACTCAATATGACAATAAATATTATTGTTGTAAATTTAGAAAATGCTATTTCTCCATGGAATACATTATTCGAGACTCAAACTGATATTTTGAATCTCTTTATATGGTATAGAGATACTTACACTAAGAATTTTGATATGTATAAGCTCAATAAGGATGTACCAGTATTCTGTTACTATAATTAAGTAGGAGAAAATTGAGACATATTACTAATAATAACAATCCATCTTTATCATTAAGTATATATTTTAAATTATTTTGTGAGGCATTACGAAATGGATCTAGGTATTTGTATCAAAAAGTAGGACAGGGGCGCCTGGGTGGCTCAGTGGGTTGAGCCTCTGCCTTCGGCTCAGGTTATGATCTCAGGGTCCTGGGATCAAGCCCCGCATCAGTGTCTCTGCTCAGCGGAGAGCCTGCTTCCCCCTCTCTCTCTGTCTGCCTCTCTGCCTACTTGTGATCTCTATCTGTCAAATAAATGAATAAAATCTTAAAAAAAATAAAAGTAGGACATATGGGGGCACCTGGGTGGCTTAGTGGGTTAAACTTCTGCCTTCGGCTCAGGTCATGGTCTCAGGGGCCTGGGATTGAGTCCCACATTGGGCTCTCTGCTCAGCAGGGAGCCTGCTTCCCCCTCTCTTTCTCTCTGCCTGCCTCTTTGCCTACTTGTGATCTCTCTCTCTGACAAATAAATAAATAAAAGCTTTTTTTAAAAAAGTAGGACATATGAATCAACAACCTCACTTGGCTTCACAATTAATAAAATATATACATCTTCTTAAATTTGAGTCACTATTTTATTTATAAAGGATTATACAAATTATGTACACATTCAAGTAAATTTATTACTTTTTTTTTCAAAATTATAAGCTACCTGCTGATGCTCTTTAAGCATGGAGCTGGGAATTTGATAGCACTATTGCAACCATATGACATGGTATGCAGAGCATTCATTTTCTTCTCAAATGAATGCTTTTCTGTGTACTTCATGAAGCTAGACATGCATAAAAGCCTGAGGAAATAATTGGTTAGATTCACTTACATGCTTCAGCAGAGTGAGTCAAGGAAAGGCAAGTTTCCATATCTCTCTGAAGTTTGCTGGGAGACCACATATATGTACACATGAGCACATGCTCAAAAAGAATAAAAAGGCCAGCTCAAAATGAGATGAAAGTAGCCAGAAATAAGGTATTTTTGTCTAAAGTTTGCTAAAAGTCACTCTTTATATGAATATTTTAAAGAGTTGAGACTTAATCACTTAAAATTAAACTATTAATAACCTTTCCCTTGACATGGAAGCAGATCACTTTATCTTTATTTTTTTTAAGATTGTATTTATTTATTTGATAGACAGA